AAATAAGTTTTGCTGGGTACCTGGGTTGGGTCGGGTAATAGGGGGTCAGGTGGTAAATGTGGACTCTTCCCAGTGCTAGTCACACAAGCTTTTCGATTTTTAGAATTTTTCAGGAGAAAATGTCACGTGTGTCAGGTGAAACTATGTAGGGCTCCAGTGGTTCCCCAGCTGTTACTGCATCCACATGCATCTTTTCAAATTAAATAAAATTAAATTATGGATTTGTATAGCACACTTTCCAATTAACAGCTGCTCAAATGCACCCAGACCATGACAGTCCTACATCACTATCCAGTCAGTGGATCAGTGTGCACTCTAGTCATTCTCACCTCCCTGGGGAGTATACAAGTATTACAACCCTACTGCCTGTCAGAGACTAGGTTCACAGTCACTACCATCTCATCCTACTCGGTACCCATTCACGGCTGAGTGAAAAGAGTCATCTTCAAACGTCACTTGCCTAATGGGAAACCATATGTGCTTCAGTGTGGGGCAGGACAGGATTCCTAGAAACGCTCACAAATTAAGCTGCTGAATGTGGTCACCCATCTCCTCCAACATTGCTGAACTTGTGAACTGATTTGTGACCTGTTCTCTGTACACAGGACCACGTGCCACCACAATATATTGTCTACAGTGTATCAGGCCACGTAAATTCCCTGCTCACTGATGATGATGATGATGATGATGATGATGATGATGATGATGACCAGAAGGTAGAAGAGTGTCTCACACTGCAGTCCCATTTATCTTCAAGTATCTATTGACATTTCACCCGGAGACGACATGTAATCTTGCAGTTTCATATAAATAAACCAGTGATAAGTCACTACCGGTAAGATAAGCTCCCAGGTGATCAACACATCATGAGTGTATGAAAGTTTACCTCAGCTACGTGGCTCTCGGCACAGATCAACAGTGATTACACAGGTAAATGGAGATTGCAAAGGGAAATGGGGATTGCACAGGTAAATAGTGAGTGCAGATGGGTTATCTACCTGAGTATTGAAAGATAGCAAAATTGGCAGAACTCATGATATTTGTTTATTTGTTGTTTAACTTCCCACTCAGCAATATTCCAGCAATATGACGGCAGTCTGTAAAGAATCGAGTCTGGATCAGACAAACCAGTGATTGACATCATGAGCACCGATCCACGAGATTGGGATACGATGACATTCATCAACCATGTCAACCAAGTCAGTGAGCCTGACCACCCGATCCCGTTAGACGCCTCTTACGACAAGCATAGTCACCTTCTACGGCAAGCATGGGTTCTGAAGACCTATTCTACCCCGGATCTTCACAGGTCCAGAACTCATGAAGGAAATGCGGGCATAGCAACCTTAAACATTCTCATGAGTCTTGCATCCATCGTGTAGGGTATATATGGCATATAGTGTTGCTAGGAAACAGCAGACAAACAGAGAGAATGTCAACAGTATCTTCAGAAATACCTCCATGAATATGCAGTGTTTGAAATTAAGTCCAAAAGTTACAAATGAAATATTTAGGATCCAAAGATTAACCTATGATAACTTGAAACTCCTGGCCCAACCTTCATTCCAACACTGACAAGGAAATGGAAGATAAATCTTGGAGGGATCAAATTACTCAGGTGGTGAATAAATCCCTTATACCCCGCCTAAAGCGTGACAGGTTGCAGGTAGATTTCTGAGAGGCAGAATTAATCCCCTATACCCCGCTTCCAAGCAAAAAGCCGCACACGTTTTCCCCGAGTCAATGAAAGTCACGTGACACAGCACAAGCTAACCTCCACTCAATCGAACTGCTGTTTTCTATCAGTTTTGAATCTGTTTTAATACTTTTACAATGTCACATTTAAACATGTTGTTAAGATAAATTCATTGTAGCAGGATCACTTGAGTCTGGATGCTTAAAACACCATGTACCATTGTTGATTCTGCTACAACTTAAAATGTTAATCAATACATGTTTGCCACAAATCATAGTTAAAAACTGCCAAGCAAAAAAAAGTACACACTCATGTTGATAGTGGCTCAAAACGAAACAAACAAGAAATGGTTATTCGATGGTGATGTGTTTCATACAGGTATCATAGTTGTATTTTGGACCTAAAGTTTGTCGTGTTTCGGCGACTTCAGCCTGGTAACGTTTTGACAATTTTGAAGGTTTGATATAACAGTTGAGTGAGTGAGTTGGGTTTAACGCTGCTTTAAACAGTATTCCAGTTACATCATGGCGTGACAGATCAATGTGAGAGGAAAGCCCGAAGTGATGCAGGTCTCAGACGTTTACCACTTCAATGAAACCCACAAGCAAGGGTATAGTATGACAAACCTAGAAACATAATCGGGGCAAACCGGGATTCAAACCCACAATCATAGGTTTCTGGCATGCCCAAGGGACGCAACTCTGCACAGCGAATCGCGGCGCCTTAGACCACTTGGCCACCTGTGTCCCACATAGAAGTTGAGCTGTCTACTATGTATGAGTAGAGGATGCAACATGCATGCGAGACAGGTCCTACGTTACAAGTACATTTGACTGGGGAGTCACTCATACACGTGACTGGCTGTCCATGGAAAAATGTCTCCACAAGTATTATTTATCAAAATAAAAAAACAAAATTAAATCCAGTTATTGATTGACATAAAAAATTTTTTACAAAGAATAAAATTAAACAGTCAAATTGCACATTGTTCAGAAAAATTCCAGTGTCCAGATGTCGACAGCAGATGCTGCTGCAGTGTTTCAACTCCGACTCTAGAGCACTCTCAGCCCATGCCTCTCTGTCCCCCTATTCTTACAAGAAGGCTGTGAGGGTGGTCCAAGAAGTTCAGTTATAGTTGCCTTCAAGCATTGAAATCATTTTGAAATTTAAACATATTTTTTAGAAGATAAATACTATGTGGGTGTCTATTTCCGGGATTTTATCGAGTATTTGCACCTTGGAAATTCATCTCGAGACCCGAAAGCGTAAGCTAACGCTTTCGGGTCTCGAGATGAATTTCCAAGGTGCAAATACTCGATAAAATCCCGGAATAGACACGCACATAGTATTTATCGATATTGTAAAACTATTGTTTTATTTCGAATGTGAGGCGTCAACATCGAACGTTCTGTTCTGTTCTGCTTCAGGGAATGCAAATCATATTTTCACCCTTTGACATTTGGTCATGTGACCCAAATTAGCCAATCACAACACAGAACACACTTTCTATAGGTTTACAATGACTATTGATATATCTTGTAAAACTGACAATATGTAGGATTTTCCTGCTAGGATGCAGCCAATGAGAGGTTACACATTGGGGTACCACAGTTATCCCGGCTTGAGTCAACTTGGGGACAGATGAATAATCTGATAAAACAAATGCTCCATTTAAAAAATGATAATCATACTTTATGTTGGTCGTTTGTAAATATTCATTGTAGGCAAGGTCTTTCCATCACCATGACCACAATGATAGATACAGGAGATGGGAGTCGCAATGTGATGCAGGGGAAGTAACTCTTCCATTCTTCCACTAAGCAAACCATTTGAAAGTAGATATTCTTCTGAGACAAAATCTGTGAAACATGTGTTTTCACCAGGGACAACAAGTTCCTAACACCAAGGATACAAACAGGTGTTCACACTAAGGACACTAACAGGTGCTTGTCTCCAGGAACACGAACAGGTTCTTTCACCAGTGACACTAACAGGTGCTAGTCACCAGGTACTCTAACCAGGTGCTTGTCACCAGGAACACTAACAGGTGCTGACACAAGGATACTAACAGGTGCTTGTCACCAGGAACTCTAACCAGGTGCTTGTCACCAGGAACACTAACAGGTGCTGACACAAGGATACTAACAGGTGCTTGTCACCAGGAACTCTAACCAGGTGCTTGTCACCAGGAACACTAACAGGTGCTGACACAAGGATACTAACAGGTGCTTGTCACCAGAGACATAAACAGGTGCTGCAAAAAAGGATACTAACAGATACTTGTCACCAAGAACACTAACCAGGTGCTTGTCACCAGGGACACCATTAGGTGCCTGTAACCAGGAACACTAACCAGGTGCTTGTCACCAGGGACACCATTAGGTGCCTGTAACCAGGAACACTAACCAGGTGCTTGTCACCAGGAACACTTAACAGGTGCTTGTCACCAGGGACACCATTAGGTGCCTGTAACCAGGTACACTAACCAGGTGCTTGTCACCAGGAACACTAACAGGTGCTGACACAAGGATACTAACAGGTGCTTGTCACCAGAGACATAAACAGGTGCTGCAAAAAAGGATACTAACAGATACTTGTCACCAGGAACACTAACCAGGTGCTTGTCACCAGGAACACTAACCAGGTGCTTGTCACCAGGAACACTAACCAGGTGCTTGTCACCAGGGACACCATTAGGTGCCTGTAACCAGGTACACTAACCAGGTGCTTGTCACCAGGAACACTAACCAGGTGCTTTTCACCAGGGACACCAATAGGTGCCTGTAACCAGGAACACTAACCAGGTGCTTGTCACCAGGAACACTAAACAGGTGCTGACACAAGGATACTAATAGGTGCTTGTCACCAGAAGCACTAACAGGTGCTTGTCACCAGGAACACTAAACAGGTGCTCATCACCAGGAATACTAACCAAGAATACTGACCAGGAATACAACATATGAAATATATTATTAACTAATAACATTTGACTATATTTACATATAAAACTAATTTATGAAATATGGAGCTTCTTCATGGACTTTCATTTGAGAGAAGACGGTCTCCCTCGTACAGCTGCTCCACACCCCTGAAAGCTTTGTCACACAAAACCTGCAACACATCTACACAAACCACAACAGACACAATAGAAGCTGGACCACAAACAACACTGTTGAGGGTACTGTTTATCATGAACAAGTATTGCTGTTCTTTCCCGGACAACTGAAATGGTGAATACTTTTCATGTATCAGAAACATTGTTTTTTGCGATCCAGGATCTGTATGAAGGATATATTAGACTTACGTCCAGGGGTACCGCCATAGCCACTGTCATCACAGGTGTTGTCCAGTCCATTGGTCAACGATGGCCGCTTGGCCGGAATCGGCATCTTGCGGATGAACTCAATGAACGGGTGACCTGGGAACTGCCCCAATGTCCCTTTGGTCAAATTGCGACCATGAAACCAGCCTTGGGGCTCCTCGATGTCGTCAGTCTGCAGATGCAAAACAGCAACTGGCTGTTACAAGAACGTTTGAGCAACCATGCAAAGGCAACAAGCAAACAAACCATGAACTGACTCACAATATATCATCTGACCTCAGAATTAAAAAAAAAAATTACAATACTGATTTACAATGATCAGAACTAGAACTAGATTTCTTAAGTTCATTTCTACAAGGCCACAACAAATTAGTTAATATGTTTGGGTATTTATGCCAAAAAAAACAGTCTTAGATCGAGAATGGCATGGCATCGTTTTTAGCAATATTCCAGCAATATCACTACATGGGACACCAGAAATGGATTTCATACGTTGTAACTCATGTGGGGAATCGAACAAGGCTACCCCACCACCCATTTCCTCACATTGCTAAGTGAGTGAGTGAGTGAGTGAGTGAGTGAGTGAGTGAGTGAGTGAGTGAGTGAGTGAGTGAGTGAGTGAGTGAGTGAGTGAGTGAGTGAGTGAGTGAGTGAGTGAGTGAGTGAGTGAGTGAGTGAGTGTGGTTTTATGCCACTTTTAGCAATATTCCAGCAATATCACTACATGGGACACCAGACATGGGCTTCACACATAGTAGCCATGTGGGGAATCGAACCCAGGCCTTCGGCATGACGAGCGAATACACTCAGCTTCCTCACTGCTAACCACTCAGCTACCCCACTGACCCAGCAGTGTTAGAACAAGAATTAACAATCAACATTCTTTACAAGACCACATAACTTCTTCTAAAGCAGACAATTTTCTTGTCTTTGTTTGGAAGACATTGACTGATTCTATCAGATGTGAAGGTTTTCAACTGATCTGGAAGTCTGAACCACAATTTTAAGGCCGTATGTAATACATAAGCAGGAAATCTACAGAGAGAAATCACTACAGAAACTGTTGAAAGGTACTGGGTATTTCAAAAGGAATGTCATCAATCCATTTATTGTGGCCAGGGCTTGAAATGACTCATCGAACAATCTAGCCTAGGTTGCACTTACACAAAGACAGAACAGAGATTGCATACTTCATGGTCATAGAAATACTTAATATGTACCACTCAACTTTTGCTGGGGATATTCCTTGTTTGAATCACTTAATATGTGTACATATATAAAGATGAGAGTGTTTCAGTATCCCAACAAAAGATTCAGTAGCCCAACAAAAGCTGAGCTGGTATGTTTTATCTGATACACATTTAACAAGAAAACAGAAGATCGTAGAATATTTAGATGATTAATTTGTAGATATATGATGAACAAGTTCCTATTTCAATGTTAACTCAAACACGATATTACAAATATCTAGAAATTACAAAATCTGGATATATTTAAATTTGTGATTGAAAGTGTAACAACAGAAACTTAGAAACAAATGCAAACACGTTGTGGAGCCTGGAGCAAACACCATTGCCTGACACGCAGAAATTAATAAATCATGATTTTGAATATAAACCTTTGACCCAAAACAGACTTCAAACGAGAAGCTTATTACTGCGTGAAATTCCTATTATCATCCAAAACTGGCTCCCACAGGAGATATAGCTTGGATGAGATCAAGCGATATCTACACTGTAGATATCGCTGCAATGAAATTACATCACAATGCTTTGCAGACCATTGTGACATCACCGGTTACCATGACGTCACAATCAAATGACATCACTAATGGCTCTGCTACTGAAGCTGTTAGCAGTACTTTTTACACTGAAGACACTGCTAATTACTGTCTACAAATTGAAAAAGTTGAAAGAATGATGTTGGATGATAAATAAAATCTCACCCTCGAGTCTTTTGATATCAAATATATCAACACTCGTTGATAAAAGTGTCAAAATCCTCGGCAAGCCTCGGAATTTTTCCACTTTTATCAACTCGTGTTGATATATTTGATATCAAAAGACACTTGGGTGAGATTCTCTATTTATCATCCAAAACTGGCTCCCACAGGAGATTTTGCTTGGATGAGATCAAGCGATATCTACACTGTAGATATCGCTGCAATGAAATTACATCACAATGCTTTGCAGACCATTGCGACGTCACTGGTTACCATGACGTCACAATCAAATGACATCACTAATGGCTCTGCTACTGAAGCTGTTTGCAGTACTTTTTACACTGAAGACACTGCTAATTACTGTCTACAAATTGAAAAAGTTGAAAGAATGATGTTGGATGATAAATAAAATCTCACCCTCGTGTCTTTTGATATCAATATATCAACACGAGTTGATAAAAGTGGAAAAAATCCGAGGCTTGAGACACTTGGGTGAGATTCTCTATTTGTCCTATGGTATATAGACAGGGTTAACCAGATGAAAAATAGTGCACCCTATATGCAAACAAAATGAGAATGGAAAAATAAAGTATGACTACCGTATTCAACGTAATAAACACCTCGCTCTAAAAAGAGCCCACGGCGATATTTGCTAATATATGGTCTAGTGAACAGTCCCAATTAGCACCCTTCCGATTGATCAATGTACACAAGACTTATTTATTCGTGTATAATATGCACTCGTGTGTCATATGCACCCTTAATTAAGAGCAATTAAATTCTGGAAAAATACATCTGTCGTGTATAATAAGCATAGACTTTTCTTTTGTATCATTTCAGGCTGTCAGCATAAAAATTATATACTAATAAGCACCCCCTATTTCTAATTTTGAGAGCGCCCTGGGCGCTTATTACGTTTAATACAGTATTTGAATAACTAATATTTGCAAAATTGCAGATTGCAGGTTACGTATAAGTTACATTTCTATTCTGGTGCTAAATACACACCTAGTTCAGGGTGTCAATGGTTGATTTCCTTCAAACTAAAATTGAAATCCCCATTTATTATGGGCTTGAGATTTCTGAGACTGCAATGCTTTAGCTTTGCGAAAGACAAGTTCCAGAAAGTGTAAGCATTGGTTATGTTTCCCTGATGTGAGTATTCATGGGTCAAATTATCAAATATCTGTTAAAACTGTATTGCCTTTCAGATTTCTTCCATTGGTTTTGAACATTGCTTAGGCTTAAAAAAATAAAAGAATTGGTTCTCAGGCAATGGCTTTTGAAAATATAAAGCGGGTGGGCAATGGTTGTTGTTTTTTTTGGCTTGTTCAAACTAGTATGTAACCAAATCAACAGTTGTGTACCTGGGAACACCAACATAAACAAGCATACAAACTCCTCTGGCCACCATGACCATAACACGAGATGCGCAGTAAAGCAGTGGCATGTAAAGGGAAGTAACTGTGTTCTATATAGGATCACATTGTTTTTAAGTATTAGGATTTTTAAATTTTTGTAAATATGGAAATATAAACAAAACATGCGGCAGACTTCATGATGATGCAGGCAGTGCCTGAGAACCAAGACTATTATTTTTTTAAGCCTTAAGTCAATGTTACTGTTGTCAATCATCTGCAACTTTTCTGATACAATGTTTGTCTCCAGAATCCAACAACAACAACACATGCAAACAAACAATAAGGTCAAAACATGCAAGTCCCCGTACTTGATCCAAATCGGCTGATGTTAATTCTAGATTATCACCAGGATCTATCATGATGTAACAACTAGTGTCATGATCATGTTCTTCCGGGTTGTAGCGATGTAACGCCTTGTAGAGATACAACGTCGTCATGGCAACTAGTTCTACTGCCACACTCTGCTGGGAAAAGCCAAACCACATTACACATAATATCACATCAAAACTGAAAGCTCCTAACATCTCACTGAAAGCTCCTAACATCTCAATACAATCTTCACTTAGTGACCATCCAATCTGATCATAAACTTTGTTCGTTGTTTTGATTCAATAACACACATTTTTCCATTTCTCTCTTAGTATCACAGATCAGAATAAACCAATAATAAAAAGTTTCCTAAAACGCTTTGAGAGAGCATGGTCCAAGGGAGATAACTCTATTGGAATCAAAATGTCCAATTCTTGATTTTATGCAGACTTCTACTTTCCCTTCACTTTGAACATGTTGAACAGGTGTATTCATATTTCAAAAGTGGAAAGTTTTAGAAAATTTCAAACAATTTATTTAGTCGCACTGCAACAATTTTGATGTGTTTCTCTGTATCGCCGCAGTAATGATGGCTTTTAATTTCTTAACCCAACTTTCAGTGCATATGTACTCAAAACCAATGGAATGGGGAGATGGAAAAATAAAACCAAATCGATAAACATTAAATTAGGGGACCAAAACCCATAACACCAGGTAAGTACAACATGGGAAGAAAACTCTCAAAGAACAAGTGATATTCCAAGAATCATACCGTCAGAGCTCAGTTCTTCAGTGGCAAAAATCCTGGTGTGATCAAAGTGTTAGTTCAGTCAAATGGCTCTAAAACTGTTTGTGTTTGGTTTCTACTTTACCCATATCGGACATCATGGACACAATCCTTCTTTCTTGTGTGAGGGACATTTGGGTTTCCTCTGAACATTTGGCCTTTTGTTTTTTACTGGTTGCTTAAATTTGGGCCCAAAATCAGTGTAGATGGTTGAAATTTGTTTATTTTTAAATTTCAACTTCGAGATAGAACTGTTACTAATAACTGAAAAGCATTCTTGAAGGTGAAACCATTACGAAAGCATGACTTCAAAATGACATCGAAAGATAATGGATTGATTTAGTTGCAGGAAGAAAGATTTGTATACGTATCATTCATCATTTCCTATTTTTCATTTCACCCAAAATGTCATTTTTATTTTGGTCGTAAACCAACTCAAAAAAATATAAGGCTTTATTATTACTCGGAGTCGATTCCTTGTTTCAACATAATCAACCAAACCGGTAAATATTTCTAGTACAAGCAATTGTTCAAACTGCCTGAATAGATTGTAGCCTGTTTTGTTATAATTCTTGGAAAATCACAGCTTCAAATAATGAACACCAAAGAATGCAAGAACCACAAAAGATGCAGGACCTAGCAGCTATTATAGCACTGGCTGCCTCCCTACATCCCTACTGCTGTCATTGTTGACCTCACTGTGAGATATACATTCCTAGTGTACAGTTACCATGGTTACAATATAAAACATCTTCATGCAAACTACTTCCAGCATAATATGACATCTTACAATATCAACACAACATTAATATAACAACATACGGATGTCATCTTTTAATATCAATATTATATTTTTAATTTAATTTTAATGATCACATTATCATGATTATTAAACTGAGAAGAAAGAAACTTTAATAATGAATTTATTAAAATTTACAAATGTGATATTCTACATTGATCAATCAGTGCTAATATTTGCAGTGTCATAGTGCAAGGGGGTTAAACCATTAGCCCAGGAAACAAACCTGAATACTGTTATTAATACTGCTACCTCAGGCTGTCCAAGTGACCCTGCCGATTCTAGCTGCAGTCCATTCCCTGAAACAAAGACATTTCACACCTACTGTCAGGATTAATTACAGAATGTCACAGCCGGGAGTTGCGTGGTACTGACCTTAGTCACACTCATCCCAACCACAAAACAGCAGTCTCAAGGACAGCCCTGTCAAAATACATATGATATAACGGTCTTTCATTTCATTAAGACGTCAACCAATAAGTGTCTGCAATTACTGGTATTGATTACATGAACATGATCAAAGAGGATTTTCAACATTTCTTTTTTTTAATAATATGTCACATAAAAGCTGACGTAGAAAAACAAAATATGTATATCATGTGTTTCTTCCATGTGCCAGAGCTCCAGATAAGCTTTTGGTGTTGTGGGTATTTTACCCATGCATTTTAAAATCATTGGGTATCAGTAATTCTATCTGGGTATTCAAATTTCTGTTACCCACTAGTTTTTACACATGCGGCTATTTAAGTTAAATATTTAAAAACACTATTCATCTAGTCCCTGCAAACTGGTGTCGTGTGGGTTCGAGAGCTTTATAGGACTCAAAAATACCATGATACTTCCACAAGAAAGTGTGATTGCAAATGATCATGATGTAACTGTCATCGTGGAGTTTGGCAAGGTTGACGGAGTGCCCGTTTATAATTTCAAAATAAGTTGCTTATTTGCTAATCGAATTCGCAGGGTTTCTTCACAATATTTTGATGATACGCACAAGTTATATTTTTGTAGCGTATCTGTAATGTTCGTTGCGTATTTGACACTCTTGGATTTTATTTTACTGCGTATTTCTGCATTTCTGATGCGTATTTTACGCAGATACGCAGCTTATCTGGAGCTCTGATGTGCTGATCAACATGGAGGCCGTGACAGTACATCTTTTTCTCTGTCATTTTCTATTGCACATCTGAAATTAAACTACACCTGTCCAGTGTCATACATATCGCTGTTCTTGCATCTGTAGTTTTTTTAAACATACTGAAATACAAATGCAATACCCATCTCTCATAACATGCTTTTTAGATTTGAATATATTCGTGCATGTCAAGGGCACAGGCCCATCTAAACATGAGCCCACCCTGCTATTGCTGCTGAGTGAAGAAAGATGGACGATTCATTGCGTACATGGTTCAAAGCAACAGCTTTGTGATCAGCAGAGCTACAGATAAACTGCGTATTGGCATAAAATATCCCTAAAAAATATTCAAAACCCAATTACTTTCAATTAACTTGTGTCCAGAAATGCATGCATTAAATGAAAAACTCAAATGTATAAAAATATTATTGAAATACCCAATGAAGCTTTTACAGCATGCGTACAATGGAGCTATTTTTCTAAACACATTTACGAGCTAATTTACTTTCTGAGTCAAGCCTATATATTTAGAACAGTCATATACATGTACATCTAAAACATTATTAAAAATGTTTTTAATCTTTAAAATGTTCACTAAGTTGGGGAAAAACCCAATAATGGGGTGAATCGGTGAGTGAAAGAAATATTGGTTACCCAATTAAAAATGTAATAACCCAGTTAAAACAGAAACCCTAGAGTAAAAACTCAATTGCTCAAAAGGTTATCTGGAGCTCTGGATCAGTGTGTAATTGTTTACACACAAAAAAAAGTTCAATTTGTATTGATGGACAGATTAACTGCTATCTAACACTAAGAAAACATTTATGTTGAAAATTTGGACGGACCTATTTCCAAAACAGTGGCTAATCACCCAACCACTTTAGACATTCCAAAGTTCTGAAGAGATCTTCCCTTGCATCCTTGAGTCAAATGTCAACCAGTGAAACACATGAGTAAATCCTTGTTAAACTTGGCCTCCAGCTGATCCCAGCTGCCCTTCAATGGACTAGCATACAAGGCATGTAAACTCTGCTTCGCTGAATAAAATGTTGTTTTCACTATATACCTTTTGATACTTAATGCCGTACTCCTTGCAACTGGTCATGTAATACAACAGAGTCTACCCATCTCTCCCATTCACTGCTGAACTTGGCATTGCGAAATCAGTCCTACCTGCATGGGATCACATACCACGTTCAGTACTGTTCCAGTTAGCCTGAAGAACTTTACTTCCTGGTTGTCATATGTGTAGCCTGTATGTGTTGTAATACAGACACAGGCTCAGACATTTAGTCTATGAAATCTTATATTACACAATACCCTTCTTGACTCTAAAAATATAAAAAATTAATTTTCCTGATGCAAATTTCATACTAACATTTAGCCTATGAAATCTTATATTATACAATACCCTTCTTGACTCTAAAAATAATATTAAAAAAATTTCCCGATGCTGATTTCATTCTTACATTTAGTCTATGGAATCTTATATTACACAATACCCTTCTTTACTCTAAAAATAAAAAAATAATTTTCTCAATGCCGATTTCATTATGGAATAGAGCTAGCTAGAGCTGGCTAGACTTGCTTTTGTCTATGTTTCTATATTGTGTTTTCTTTCATAAAATAAGTATATACCACAGTCCTGGTGCAGGACTAATACAGGCTGCTCATGGGTAATAGCCTAACACAAAACTTTAAAAACTAAATCAGTTGTATTGACCCCAAATCAGCATGTCAATTTGGATATCAGTATTTATTTAATCGTCCATATGAAAATAAAAACACCCCCTTCCCACTGACCCAACTTGACATTTCTTGGTTGCTCTGACTGGTCCGAGATATGGTTTAACAGGTAGAGTTTGTGAGTGAGCATATGTTAGAAGGAGTATAGGATGATTGCACTATTATCTAGCAACACTTCCACTTGGGATTGTGGGAGATCTTATGTGACATGCCCCCCGAAGTAGTAAGACTACACATACATAGATCACTAGTTGTAACATTGTACAAAAGTTAAAAATATCTGTGGCACAGAACCTTATCTGGATATGTAGATAACAGTCTAAAATGTCCTCGAAGATAAAAGTTGCTGTCCAGGGTGCCTTTGTACTAAACAACCTTAGTGTTATTACTGTTGTAAGTCTGTGTTAAGGTATGGGAGTTACGATCACCTTAGCGCTATGACTGTTGTAAGTCTGTGTTAAGGTATGGGAGTTACGATCACCTTAGCGCTATGACTGTTGTAAGTCTGTGTTAAGGTTTGGGAGTTACGATCACCTTAGCGCTATGACTGTTGTAAGTCTGTGTTAAGGTATGGGAGTTACGATCACCTTAGCGCTATGACTGTTGTAAGTCTATGTTAAGGTATGGGAGTTACGATCACCTTAGCGCTATGACTGTTGTAAGTCTGTGTTAAGGTATGGGAGTTACGATCACCTTAGCGCTATGACTGTTGAAAGTCTGTGTTAAGGTATGGGAGTTACGATCACCTTAGCGTTATGACTGTTGTAAGTATGTGTTAAGGTATGGGAGTTACGATCACCTTAGCGCTATGACTGTTGTAAGTCTGTGTTAAGGTATGGGAGTTACGATCACCTTAGCACTATGACTGTTGAAAGTCTGTGTTAAGGTATGGGAGTTACGATCACCTTAGCACTATGACTGTTGAAAGTCTGTGTTAAGGTATGGGAGTTACGATCACCTTAGCACTATGACTGTTGAAAGTCTGTGTTAAGGTTTGGGAGTTACGATCACCTTAGCGCTATGACTGTTGTAAGTCTGTGTTAAGGTATGGGAGTTATGATCACCTTAGCGCTATGACTGTTGTAAGTCTATGTTAAGGTACGGGAGTTACGATCACCTTAGCGCTATGACTGTTGAAAGTCTGTGTTAAGGTTTGGGAGTTACGATCACCTTAGCGCTATGACTGTTGTAAGTCTGTGTTAAGGTTTGGGAGTTACGATCACCTTAGCGCTATGACTGTTGTAAGTCTGTGTTAAGGTATGGGAGTTACGATCACCTTAGCGCCATGACTTGTAAGTCTATGTTAAGGCATGGGAGTTACAATCACCTTAGCGCTATGACTGTTGTAAGTCTGTGTTAAGGTATGGGAGTTACGATCACCTTAGCGCTATGACTGTTGTAAGTCTATGTTAAGGCATGGGAGTTACAATCACCTTAGCGCTATGACTGTGGTAAGTCTATGTTAAGGTATGGGAGTTACGATCTCCTAAGCGCTATGACTGTTGTAAGTTAAGGTATGGGAGTTATGATCACCTTAGCGCTATGACTGTGGTAAGTCGATGTTAAGGTATGGGAGTTACGATCACCTTAGCGCTATGACTGTTGTAAGTCTATGTTAAGGTATGGGAGTTACAACCACTTTAGCGCTAAGATCGCTTTGTACATCGGCACACTGCTCACCATAGATATTCAACTATTTTCTGCATGAATGCAGAGAACCTTAAATTACACTACAATCTAATGATTTGCACAAACTACATCATCTAAAGTAGAAACACATGACATAAGTTTAGCACCCAAAATCTGGCAATTTCAGCATAGAGGAAGTTTCAGAGACAAATACACAGTTTGAGAGAATTTAAGAACCTGTCAACACAAAGTCAAAATTTGGAATATTTTGAATCTCACAAGTAAATAAAAATATACCAAATCTCATTACCTTACATACAAAAGTGACACAGTAATGGCCCATAAATACAATTTTCAGTACGGTGTAGCAGTGACTTCAAGTTGTCTGTGAATGTATGATGATTACATTACAATATGGCAAAAGTTTTCAATTAGCCAGTGAGAACCTCACCTGAGTGTCTTTGGATGTCAAATAGATTAAAATGAGTTGATCAAATTTAAAACTTTAAAAATGTATTTTCAACATTTTTAAGGAAGATATGCTTTTCACATGATTAAAGTGTTCCAGTCAGTATTTTATTACAGATAATATGATCGATAATAAGGTTTCCTCATAACAAGTATCAGTATATACCATCTGTGTATGAATGGAGAAGCAGACTGTTTTCATGCACGTAGCCGACGTACTCAAGAACACTGCATGGACAACACCTATCTTGTTGATGCAACTGTCATTTGATACCCGTGAAGATCCGGGTTTGAATTGGTCTTCAGCAACCCGTGCTTGTACCCATGAAGATCCGGGTTAGAATTGGTCTTCAGCAACCCGTGCTTGTACCCCATGAAGATCCAGGGTAGAATATGTCTTCAGCAACCCATGCTTGTACCCCATGAAGATCCGGGATAGAATATGTCTTCAGCAACCCATGCTTGTACCCCATGAAGATCCAGGGTAGAATATGTCTTCAGCAACCCATGCTTGTACCCCATGAAGATCCGGGTTTGAATTGGTCTTCAGCAACCCATGCTTGTACCCCATGAAGATCCGGGATAGAATATGTCTTCAGCAACCCGTGCTTGTACCCCATGAAGATCCGGGATAGAATATGTCTTCAGCAACCCATGCTTGTACCCCATGAATATCCGGGATAGAATATGTCTTCAGCAACCCATGCTTGTACCCCATGAAGATCCGGGATAGAATATGTCTTCCGCAACCCGTGCTTGCAGTAACAGGTGACTATGTTTGTCGTAAGAGGCGACTAACTGGATCGGGTGGTCAGGCTCGCTGACTTGGTTGTTGCATGTCATCGCATCCCAACTGCGTGGATCGATGCTCGTGATGTAAATCACTGGATTGTCTGGTACAGACTCGATTATTTACAGATCACTGTCATAAAGGTGGAATATTTGCTGAGTGTGGTGTCAAACAACAAACAAACAAACAAAAAAAAGGTGTCAATGGCGTCCACTCAAGACAAATGAAAGTTTGAGATGGCTCCATGCTTATGTCAAACTGAGCCTTGTGTAGCTGAATTTTACCCATTGTCTATCCTGCTAATGTCTAAATTACATACAGGGCCAGTAATCCTCTTTAAACTCCATGGGGATCCACCTACCATGTTTTGCCTACCCTCAATGTGAAAATGGAAAACACATCATCTTTTATTATTGCCATGTACATGTTGTCCAAATCAGTGGCCCAAACATTCTCAGATTGGAAAACAGGCAGGACCTACCGACCAAGTAACATTATAAGATAACTGATGAATTCACATTAATCTGAATTGGACTGCATTTGTTTTATCCACCACCTAATGTGGGTTATATAGTTCTAGCCCACTGAAATATCATACCACAGTTTAACATGGATACCCCACTCAAACAGTATACTGACTCAGAGCCAATCGGTTATTCTTTTATTTCTTAATGTCTAGCGCCAGGCAGGTTAACAACAAGTACCATCTCCTAACGTCTTTTGGTATGCTGGCCAGGGGATTGAACCACCAACCTTCCACTCTCAGGGCAGACGTCTAACAATGGCTGCAGGAATTTGATCAGACAATGCTCATGATGCTGATGTATTGGTATATTTATTAAAACACAATCCAGTTACCTTGGGGAAGACAGAAAACTCACTTGAAATAGCCAGAGTCTCAAGCACTGCAATGTGCTGTGCAGTTGTGTCCCTTAGCCGGAATCCAAAAAGATCATGGGTTCAAGTTATAATCCAGGTTTGAACATTTCTGATTTTGTCAGCACTAAACCCATGTTTATGAATTTCACAATTCTGTCTGGCAGATAATTTAAAGACTACTTACATATTCAGTTATTATGACAACTCCTTGTATAGATTCTCAAGTATATTGTTTGCAATATTTCAACTGAATCAAGACATGATTTGTCTCTTATTTTTAGTGATTTTTCAATATTTCTAATGTCTGAACGCGGGCAGGTAACTTTGAAGATGGGCAGGCAACACTTATGGGTGTGGAATGATATATTCCAGGCAACATATCAATACTGATGGCAATGCTGTCCTCAGCCTGGCCTTCACATACCTGCTGGGACCTGCCGGTGAATATCTTACTGCACAGCAACACTCCCTCACTCACTCACTCCTTCACCTGGAACAGGGAAACACACATCAGAAATGCGAAAAAGAATAATATAATATAAAAAGAATAAAAGAATATCATAATCATGAAAGAAAAACAAAAATAACATGGACAGCATCAATGGAAGTGAGTGAGTTTGGTTAACGCCGCTTTGAACAGTATTCCAGTTATATCACGGCATGTTAGCTTGATACGGGAGGAAAGCCTGAAGTGATGCAGTTTGCCTACACGGACGGGTATGGTGCTGACAAACCTAGAAACATAATCAGGGCGAATCGAGATTGGAACCCACGATCATAGGTTTCGGGGGTGCCCAAGGGAAGCAACTCTGCACAGCGACCTGCGGCGCCTTAGATGACTGGGCCACACGTGCCCCCCACATAAATGGAAGTACACAATCTGGTTGAATAGAAGGAAGAGTTATTAACAATAGGAATATGTTGCCGCACCAATCATTCTTATGTAATTACAATATATGCCATGACAGTGAGTGAGTTGGGTTTAACACCGCTTTTAACAGTATTCAAGTTATTTCACGGCGTGTCAGCTTAATGTGGGAGGAAAGCCCCAAGTGATGCAGGTCTTGGACATTTACCACTTCAGTGAAACCCACAAGGACGGGTATGATGCTGACAAACCTTGAAACATAATCGGAGCGAACCGGGATTCGAACCTACAATCATAGATTTCTGGCGTGCCTTAGGGACGCAACTCTGCACAGCGAATTGCGGCGCCTTAGACGACTGGGCCACCCGTGCCCCCTGGTAAATGAACCTACTTTACAATGAACACTGTCGAATGTAAACACTGTAAGACAGCATACATAACATCAAGTAAACCTTTGGGCCATCTCCATGGTGTAGTGGATAGGGTATCTGCTCAGAGACCAGAAGGTCAGTGGTTCAATCCCTGGCCACGTCATACCAAAAGACATTATAAGATGGTACATATTGTTACCCTGCCTGGTGCTTGGCATTAAGGGGCTAAAACAAGGACTGGTTGGCTCAGTCAGTTTTCTCAGTGGAATATCCATTTTAAACTGTGTCATGGTATCTTAGTGGGCTAGCATTATATAGCCTGCATAACTAATACAAGAGGCAACACAGCCACGTAAAACATGTCGCAATATAAGTGCAATCTTAAATGAAATGTTAAAACCCATTTCACTTCCAGTAAAATTTTGAAGTATTTTTTTATAAGAAAACTTCCCATTGGCATCAATGAGTTCAAAGTTCAATCTGAAGACCTGTGGTGGGTCAAATGACTGATTATTGAGAAAACGTGTTTAGCCGGGATTGGACCACATTGATCAGAATTGGATGTTCAGTTATGAGGGATAAATGGCCTGAGTTATCTCCCCTGATCCAGAAACCACGACAGTGACATGCATGAGTGTATCAACACCATAGTGAATGAGTTGGTCGTGGTTTAATGCTGCATTGGAACATTTCTCAAAGATATCAAGGAATGTCACTGATTGTAAACTTAAAATTGGAGATGTGAAACAAGCTGAAGATCTGATCCCCATAGAAAATCAGATGCAAACCAAGTTAGCATAGCTTCATCCCTTTCAACAACATGTAAAAATAAAACAACTCCTGTATGATACTGCATGAGGAGGACACACCCACCACAGCCCCATGACAACCATGTGTGGATTCAAACTCCTGTATGATACTGCTGCATGAGGAGGACACACCAACCACAGACCCATGACAACCATGTGTGGATTCAAACTCCTGTATGATACTGCATGAGGAGGACACACCAACCACAGCCCCATGACAACCATGTGTGGATTCAAACTCATGTATGATACTGGATAAGGAGGACACACCAACCACTGCCCCATGACAACCATGTGTGGATTCAAACTCCTATAGGATACTGCATGAGGAGGACACACCCACCACAGCCCCATGACAACCATGTGTGGATTCAAACTCCTGTATGATACTGTATAAGGAGGACACACTAGCCACAGCCCCATGACAACCATGTGTGGATTCAAACTCCTGTATGATACTGGATAAGGAGAACACACTAACCACAGCCCCATGACAACCATGCGTGGATTCAAAAGCATGTGTCGGTGCTTTTAGTCGACTGTTTATTTCAGCACAGATCAGTTTGTCTCTAAGTGTAATCGGAACTTTGATCAAGCAAAATGGGTATTTCAGCATAAGCCACACAAAAACTACTTGCCTCAAAGACTTCTACAGTTTCAAAAATGTTACACAATATAGTGATACTGCTGATGTCAATTTGATGAGATCCTTCTGGTGTCCCCTTACAGATGTCAGGGTGACCTCTTCTTTTATGGCTTTTCGCCAGTGTCAGTTTCTACAACTGAGCATTTCAGACCTGATGTTAGACATTTACATCCTTTTTTGTCATCAAAGAAGTGTACACTCATTAAACAAGACATAAACAGTTATATATAATCATAGCATTTTTTAAATTTCACTTTGAAAAAGAAATAACAGTAATATTAACTTAGAGAGGGGAAAAGTTCAAAACATCTTACACAAAGTAGAGTCGTTTCATCTGCTAACTGCAGAGTTCATTTGTTCATATGATCATGTATAAAACTTACATCCCAAGAAACCCAAATGCATAATATCACTGATACAACTCAGAACTTTGCACAACTTTCAGACGCAAAAAAAAAGATCAAAAGCCGCTGAAATGTGTTGGAAATGGTGGGCAAGCTGTCTGCATACTTTCAAGGGAGGTAACCATTATCAACTTAATTATTCAGCTACGAACAGGAACAGGCGACACTAAAATATACGAAAGTACGGATACCCTTGAAAGAAAGCGTTAGGCTACCCATACGCACAGCACCAATGACATGAACTGTTGTCTACCAGTGTTTGTCACTGACCAAAACATGTCAGAGGTCCAAACAGACGGCACATTGAAAACCTACTGGACACAATGATGCTGACCAAATCGGTTTTAAAAGGTATTCTTCTTTGCACAATTAATATGAGAAACCAGACAAGGAGGTAGCCACTGTACACTGCAGGGTTGTTAAGGTTGCTGGTTTTCATGGGAGTTCAGAGTTCAGACAATGACTTCAAACACCGTGCAAACTTTAATTGCTTTGTTAGTACCCAAAATAACAACAGACCACCGGACCAGCATCTAATTTTACTGGCCCTTAAGAAAGTATGCTAGACTCGGACCAGCAGACCAGTGTTAGTGTCATACACTGTCTACAATCATGAAAATGATCATATTTTGAAACAATATTTATTATATTTATATATAAAAATATATTCTTTTTAACAGTGAAAAAAAATTTCAAATCCTTGCCGAAGATCAGAAGATGACTCGGGACTATGACTTTAGTGTTACTTAGCCTGAGGATTGTGAAGAAATGACACATATGTTAATTGACTGGTGTAGTATTTTTGTACAAAATGTTTCCACAGGACGTCTTGCTGACAGAGACATGTTGGAAACGATTGAGCATTGAAGGCAAGCCAAGGCAATTGTATAAGAACTGAATTGGAATTGTATCGTGTGTATCATGGTTCTGTTTTCATCAATCAATTACTACCAGTATCAATTAATCAAGGTCCAGTCAGGAGATTCGTAAATCATCCATATCAGTCTTGTTTGACGAAAGACACGTGTTACATACAGCGTGACCATGATGAGTATGTATAATTATTTACTAGTTTTGTATCATTCTCAATGACATTATAAAAAAAATTAAAATAATAATCAATCATCATTAGTCATTCATCAGGTGATAGCCTCATTTTGGTGTTCAATCATGATTCCAGCTTCCCAACATAATTCCCCGTAAGATTTCAGTTGACGGGCACAGCTTACAGCACATACTGACTCAGGATGCAACTCTCACTTCACTGATCTGCTGCCTCTCTGATCCTAGGGGTTAAAGCTGGGTTTGGGTTAGGGTGGTTTACCCCAAATCCTATTCTTAGCCCTTGGATCCCATTTCTGATCAAGCATTCCTTTTCCAATCCTTAGGGTAGGTTGTTTTTGTTTGTTGTTTAACGCAGCACTCAGCAATATTCCAGCTGATGACGGCTGTCTGTAAATAATCGAGTCTGGACCAGACAGTCCAGTGACTGACATCATGAGCATTGATCCACGCAATTGGGAAACGATGACATTGGTGGAACGCTGACATATCTTTCCCATTTCAAAGCTAATCGTGAAAAGGTTGGTTGGTTGGTTTGTTGTTTAACGCCACACTCAGGAATATTGCAGCTATATGTCGGTGGTCTATAAATAATCGAGTATGGACCAGACAATCAAGTGATTGATATCATGAGCATCGATCCACGCAATTGGGATATGATGACATGCTTCAACCAAGTCGGTAAGCCTGACCACCTCTTACGACAACCATAATCACCTTTTACGGCAACCATTGGTTGCTGAAGACCTATTCAACCCCAGATATTCACAGGTCGAGTTAGTAGTGAGTTAGGGTATAGGTGAGCTATCTCAGCTCTTTTAACAAAAAAATCCAAAGTAATTTCAGGAAAATCCTTCAATTTTGGTGAAGTTTTCAGAGACAAATGGCTCCTCTGCATCGCATCAAGGTAAACAACCCGGGTGCTGATCACTTAAACAAACACTTATTATTTGTGGTAGCGTCTGAGGTCCCTTGGTAAAGTGTTGGATAATTGGATAAAAACATTTTCCCAGCTGAACTTCAAGCTGGCAATGCAAGGATTAAAGCTCTGTGGTGCGCTAAATGAAACTAAACAAATGTACACCTAGTAGAGAGAAGTACTCCCCAATTCCCAACACTGCGAATGACATCATCAGGCCAATTATGACATCACAATGAATCATTTATGACATCACAATGAATCATAGATTCAAACTTCACAAGAACAGTGTCTGAGCTCACTTGACATGAATGTAAATCGGAATGATCATCACAAGAAATGCAAGGTGCTGCACTTCCAGCCCTTGCAGATGCACACTCGCCACAGAACAGACAAATCTTGCTACTGCAGACTCGTCACACAACAGACAGTTTTGACAGGAACTGAGTCAAACTTTCAAACATCGTTGACAATAACAACACTCTGTTCCATAATCAATACTTTTAAACTATAACTTACAGAGAAACTTGCATTCACTTTACCGCCACAACTCAAACAAACCTTAACGTAAGCTGCATTCAGTGAGAAGGAGGATAATAAACGCCACAAACATAAAACTACTTCCCCTTTCAATGTCACGCTTAGATCCGCCGCGCCAAGAATATATTTCGAAGTGAATCTCCAAACTGCAAGAAATCTAACAACTTGTGTAACCGAGGGACACACAACAACTGATACATGAAAATCAACGGGTCGCACAAGTGAAAGCGTGAGTAATATCTTTACCTGCAAAAACAATGTGTATATGAGTACTTCAGGAAGCAAGCACCTTACTACCCGCCATGTTGGGCAATGACGTCACGATCGATTGTCTCCCCTTGGAGTTTATGAATGAAAAGTAAAACAACTCGCCACGCTTTCTCAGCCATGCGTAGTGAGTCGATGAACGTCTTGATAGTACTTCTTCATGATGATTGATTTTACATGGATAGGAAACAGACACGCGGGTGATTTTATAGCTTCTTTATATTTCATTTAGATATATATGGGTAATAAAAATGTGTGTTTGTGTTGTACTCTAAATGAACAAGGAGAAAATATGAGCGCATTCACGGGGGCACACAATGATTAGCGATAAGCGGAAATAAACACATTGTACGTTATAACAACTAAAGCAAATAACACAAGCTATTTTCCCGTATTTATTTGTAATATATGATCTGAAAAGATAATAATTAATACATTTTTTGTTTGAATTAAAAATATTAATTAATTCTATATAAAAAAAACAGTAGAAAATATCTTACACATTAAGTCTTTGAAAGGCATTTAGAAGTGATACACATAAGGAAGAGAATTTATGGATGTCAATTTCTTTATTTTTGAGGAACACAACGTTTCGGAGTATATGCTTACTCCTGCCGGTGAATGAATGCTATGAGACAGAGAGCATATGTATGTACAAGTAAGAACAACCATTCTCATTAAAATCATATCTTAGTTCTCTAATTTATTATAGAATGTATTTATGTATTTACCATTATATTTTAAGATATAAGTTATTGTTGTTTTTGTAGAAATTATAGTGTACATCGATGAAATATTAAAGTATTACTGTAGCTTCACGAAAGGAAGAGAGATTTTAGAGTTGATTATGGCTAGGTTTCGCTCTTCCGGCCCAGAGCCAAGTTTCCACCTTCTGTTATCTTTTTACTTTTGTTGTTCTTCAATCTCATTAAAATCAGATCTTAGTTCTCGCTTTCGCTAAACAAAGCGAGGGTTCTGGGCCGGAAGAGCGAAACCTAGCCATAATCAACTCTAAAATCTCTTCGCTTCCGTGAAGCTACAGTGAGACTGGTCACGCTACAGTAAACACGGGATATTGCTATACCGGGACTCTCAAATTACAAGAAAAACATAGAAATGCGTATACCGTTATCACACTAGTAATTTATCAGATGCTGAAGTATAGTATAGTTGCACAAAAGTACTTTACATTTAACAAATTTAATAACTCTAATACTTTAATATTTCATAGATGTACATTATAATTTCTACAAAAACAACAATAACTTATATCTTAAAATATAATGGTAAATACATAAATACATTCTATAATAAATTTGCGGTTGCACTGGCATACACGTTTTTTACGAAACGACTCTCTAGTAAATCTCCTCTCCTCTGTTGGAACAGCACGGGCGCTAATCTAAACTACGGTAATCCGGTGTTTTTATAGCTAGGGAAATAGATACTAGGGAAAATTGGATTTTCGTTAACCAGGCACGACACCGGAAACTTAAGTCAACATATAATTGGCGCTGACAGGTGATTAGCAATAGACAATGGAAGCCAACACTTTACAGTAATTAGCGCTGATAGTTATGGACAACTGGAAGCCAGGACTTAAATTATCACTGAATGGTTATTGGCAATGGACAAACGGGAGACCGGGGGTAATTAGCACTGATAGGTAAAAGAATAGAAATAGCAATGGGCAAATGGAAGGCAGATAGATAACTAGCATCGACAAAGATCAAAGCAATAAGTCCCAAGCACGAGGCAGGTAAGTTCCCAGGTAACGGCTCATGGCTGGCTGGTGTCTCCTGTGGCAATGGCCTCTTGCATTTTTTTGTCGCTAGTTGTTGTTGGTAGACACATTATTATTTTTCACAATTTCAAGAACAATTTATTTCCATGCGTCCATAGGCGTGTGTGTAATATGATATACACTTATATTAATGTATACTTATAACGTTTTGTCTTCAGTATGCGTGTATGTCCTGTGTAATCTGCTTATATAGCGTAACGAAGCAATGTCAAAAGGGTGTTGGCTTGAGTTTGATTGTCTGTAGGAAGGAACCGGCATGTGACGACTGAAATCGATCACACTGGGACGTACTTGACGTGCAGCCGGGTATCAATATCCTGGCGCATGAGCAGTGCGGAGACGATGGACATTGCAGCCTGACACAGACACTCGCGTTCGTGACAATAACACGTGGGTGGTATTTTGAAAGGACTTGTGTTCGGAAGGACTAAGGTCAAGAACAGGAACGGATTAGGAATGAGCAACTGAGAAAATAATTGAGAGAGAGAGAGAGAGAGAGAGAAAGAGAGAGAGAGAGAGAGAGAGAGAGAGAGAGAGAGAGAGAGAGAGCACGGAGTTTCGTATAACCGTCTGTAGTCAATTGTATATGAAATGGGAAATATAATACACTGGATAAGCGGGGGTGGTGTATACATAGGCGGATTCAGAGACGGGAGTCCAGGCGGTCCACTCGTCCCCCTTTCGGAATCCAAATGTGGTATGTTGTAGGCAGTAAAACGGACTGAGAGAGGATTTTGATATTTAGGACCCCTCCCTTTTAAAAATGCTGGATCCGCCCTTGTGTATACACTATTCACATGCGATTGGATATGTCCATTTACAACTTCAGGGGATGACACACCCATGAAGCCGCCCATGCGATATATGCATACTCCAAACTCTAAGAGGCCACTTTAGTTTTAAAGGTTTCAAAATCATCCCCAGAAATAGTCATGGTTAATGCATGTGCACAATTAGAAAGCGATGTTTGCCCGACTTGTTGTCTCTACTTTTGCCATGTTTTGCATTTAACAACATTTGTGGGTTTGGGGTTGATTACGATTTTTCCATGAGCTGTTTAACGCCACACTCAGCAATATTCTAGCTACATGACGGCAGTCTGTAAATAATTGAGTCTGGACCATACAATCCAGTGATTGACTCCATGAGCCTCGATCCACAAATTGGGATACGATGATATGCATCAACCAAGTTAGCGAGCCTGACCATCCGATCACATAAGTCGCCTCTTACGACAAGCATAGTCGCCTTTTACGGCAAGCATGGGTTGCTGACGACCTATTCCACCCCGGATCACTGGCCAGCTTACATATAAAACATATCCAACCAAAATAAGTGTTATTTTAGATGGGTTGTCTACACAACTGTGTCCAATCCAAAAGGCATCTTATTGCTAAGTTCCAGAAATGACAAGTTTACACCTTGATACGTACCTGTTGTTATCAGTCTGCGTCTGAAATAGGCCAAACTGTTATCTTAGGTAAACGATATCAACAGCGTTGACTAGCTGTTGATAACACGTCAATACTACGTCATTGTTGTTTTTTCTTTTTAAATTAGAGAATAGCCACCGAGCTACGAGGAAATAAGGTTATCAGCCTCTCGTGAATGACCGATAAGTCCCGAGCCTTTCGAGTAGTAAACTACGTTTATAACGAACACGCTTATAACGAACTGGCGGGTATAACGAACTGAATTTGTTGTCCAAAACATTTGCTGTATATATGTTTATAACGAATTACGGTTATAAGGAACTTAAATTAGTGGTCCCTATGAGTTCGTTATAACCGTAGTTTACTGTATTCTATTTATTACCAATTGGGTTAGAAATAACCGAGTTCATAAATATCGTATGTGCATGTAGAGCATATATCACTGCATGCGCATGCATGCGCCATCCGAAAGGCACTGTTGACGTCATTCGAATCTTATTGTGGTGTAGGTCTGAATGACGTCACACTAGACTGAGGTCATGGCTTAAGATTGCTACCGTCATCCGACAATTGTGATTTTCTAAGATGGCGGTCGTGATCAGTGTATTTTTCTAAAGCTCAAAAGGATTGATAAAAAATGGGTTTTGATAAATTATTACACTCTCATGTGTGCCATACTGATGTTATTTTTTGCTCATTGACATTGAAAGAAAATGAAGAAAAATGTATTAAATGTCAACTGTACAGAGAAACTTTACTGAGGCAGCCCATAGTTCAGATGACGTAATGTAATCAATCTGTGACGTCATGTACAATGGATGACGACATATCGTATTTTCTGAACATTGAAGCACTGGCACGTCATATGGCTTCAACTGATCAATCAGCATTGAGAATCGCTGAAGTACAAATGTGCAAATGTCGGAATGTTATTACACACACACACAAACATTGTACACTTTTTAGTAATATTATATACTTAACCCTCCTTGCAGCCTTATCTTAAATATATTTATGTATCATCACTTTTAAATACATTATATTATATATATGTGATGTGTCCACCATCCAGTCAGCCTGCACAGATTCTAAGCACTTTGAGGCGCTGTCGGATCGTGATATTCCGGTTTGATCTGGTTTAAATCAACAGGAAGGGCGTGTTTGCTGTGCACAGGTTCGTATTTCAGTCGTGTTGACATGCAGCCCCGGCCGCCGCCATATTGAAGCATCATCACACTACATATAAATCACGATGAAGCCCCTCAAACTGTGGCCACACTATTTTTACTTTCAAAAACATCAATAAAGGCCGAAACGATATTCTAATTTTCATCTTTTTCTCGATTCATTTTGGCTTGTTTTGTTGTTTTTGTATGCTTGTATTTGGTTTGTTGGGTGTGTTTTTGTTGGTGGTGTGGCTGTTTCATTATTATTATTTTTCTATCTTTGTTTTGTTTTTCCCCCGTTTCTTTTGATTTCTTTGCGATGAGTGGGGGAAGTTTTGGTGGGGTGGTCATTATCATTACATTAATTGTACTTCCGATTTCTTTTTTAAGTGTTTGTCGGTAAAACACATTTTAGTCTGGTTTAACTTTTACCTCAACATGCGAATCCCATCTTAGCGTTAGCTGCCGTGCTATGACTGGAACATCGTTAAAAACGTCCTTAAGCCACACACTGCTCACATTTCCGTCTGAATTCAACATCGAGACTGCACAGATATATCATTCATGGTTGGCAAAAATATTCACGAACTACATAAATCATTTTGAATTCTTGTTTCCTTGTGAGGATTCTGGGAACCCATACTTGTCAA